CAGGGCCATGTCGCTCCCAAAGACACTACCTTTTTACTTAACACTCACAGTGATTGTAATTACAGAGTCGTGCCAATTTTTATTTGTAGCGCCTCACACAGCGCTTGATGGGTTGTTAATGCTCAGCAACTGTGTATTGAATGAAAACAAAAATGAATGCAATTGGAAAAGAATGAAGGGGATTTCCTGGAGCAGTGGACATCTGGCATGGCCTCAGAGGACAGTGACTCAGTCAGGATGGGCTGGGTCAAGCTGCAGCAACAGAACCCCTCCAAGTCCTAGTGGCAGCAGGGTTTATTTCTTCCCAAAGTCACAGGTCGGTTTGGGGTCAGTGGGGACTCTGCTCATGCTTCCGCCCTCTCAGCCCCAGGGGATGGAGCCCCCACCGTCCCAGCGAGGCTGGTGGCGGTAGCGGGAGTGAGGAGACTGGGGTGAATCACAGACTGGCTATTTAAGTTCCCTTCTGGAAGTGACACGGATCATTTCCGCACCCCATTCACTGACAGTGCAAGTCCACGGACATGCCTCTAACTCCAGGGAGGAGGGGCGGGAAGTGAGGAGCTGGAGCGGATGGCGAACACTCCTAGTGCTTTCCCCCGACGAGTGAAATCTCCGTAGGTGAAGAGGGTGTGGGAGGACTTCCTAGAAGGAGAAACTTGCGTGGTCGAAGATTCAGAGGAGGGCGTGAGCAGCATATTCAAGGAAGAGCGGTGAGTAACCCGGGGACAGGAGGAGAGAAAAGTCTGGACATGCGCAGAGACATCTCCCTCGCCACACCCAGAGGAGCTGCTGAACTGGGCCAGCGACAGGAGCGAAGGCGGACTTAGTTAGGCAGGACCTGTGATTGAGGTGGTCCGAGATGACAGCCTAGCATGGGATGGCGAGAACTGGAGAGGGCAGATGACAGAATGGGGCAGCTGCTGGGCAGCCAGGCGACAGCTGTGTCACCAGGGCAGCTGGAGCAGGCCGGTAAGCTGGTCTCCGTCCATGAGCTACAAACACGTGATAAATACACATGAACCACGGACTGGGGTGAATCTTGTCTTTCCCAAATTCCTTTCCACCCAGAACCTCAGAATGTGATCCTATTTGGAAATAGGGTCTCTGCAGATGTAATTCGTTAAGGTGAGGTCACACTGGATTAGGGTGGGCCCTTAATCCAACATGGCTGGCAGAGGGGCACAGAGGCAGACCCACGAAGGAGGTCATGTGACAACCCAGGCAGAGACTGGAGGGGCGCGGCCACAAGCCCAGCGGTGTCAAGGATCACCAGCAACCACCAGAAGCTGGGAAGAGGCAGGAAGGAGCTTCCCTGGAGCCTTCAGGGTCAGCACGGCCCTGCCCGCCCACTGGTGGTGGACCTCTGGCCTGCAGCACTGCGACACAACACACTTCTGTGGTTTAAGCCCCTCAGTTGGCGGTAAAGTGTTTCGGCAGCCCTGGCAAACTCCTGCACAGCAGGAACGGAGAGAAACTGGTTTTCTATGGGCCAAAAGTTGCTCCGCGCTCCCTTTAGGTTCACAGTAAGGATTCTTCCCATAGCCTGGACACGGGCTAATAATATTCAATGGCATCGGGTTTTCCCAGTGCTCACAGCCGGATAGAATGGGTCACACATGCTCCCGGGGGCCGGGGAGAACTGCCACAGGTCCGGAGGGGAAGTCCTTTCCCTGCCCCCAGCAACATCCGAGCAAGGCTGCGTAAGGTGCGGACAGGTCAGAGGGAAACGTTCATTTGCTCACTCGCTCGGTCATTATTTGCCTGATGGTGTGTATGCGTCGGACACTGTGCCAGGTGCCAGGGCAGACAGTGATGAGGACAACGATGATGGTGGTGACTGTCATGGGGAGGGGACTCCAGAAAAGCGGTAGGGTGGGGGGAGGGGAAGATGATGGTGCAAAGGCTATTGATTTTCCCTGACAAGTTTCATAGAATTCTTTGGCCAGGTCCACCGGGAACTTGATAAATTAAGCAATGGAAAGTGAAAGTAGAAGGAGATAAGGAAGTGGAGACCACGTGTGCAGCCGCCGTTGAGAGGAGTCTGGGGAGCGCGGGCTGAGAGGCCCTGGGCTACAGTAACCGGTGGGAGACTCAGGATAGAGACGGGGTTGGCCTCGTGGGTCCTTGACTGCAGAGCATGTGCACTCGTGGGTTCGCGTCATTCAGAAGAGAGGGACACATGGGTGCTGGAGGAGCAAGAGGGGCGAGAGGCAGCCCAGAACCGGAGCTGGGAGATGCTGGTTTTTCAGGAACCGACTTTCTCAACTCAACAGGCGGAAAAAGAACAGAGAGAGGAAGGGCAACTGACCCAAGGACCGCACGGCTCCTAAGTGCTGAAATCAGGGGGCTTCCCTGTGAACGGCAGCTGCCTCTCGAGTCTCTCTCAGCCGCCAGTGCTCACACTTTCCAGGGAAGGGGTTTGGGAAGAGAGGGTCGCTATGGTCCTTGCAGTTCAGACCTTCATGATAAAATTTAAGGTGTTGCTAAATAGAAATCCCCAGGAGACATTAATCTGGAAAAATCCAGCCTCATCCTGTGGTGGATTTGCAGCACACACGCACATGTACTAAGCCATCCAATTCCATTGCTGACCAGCGAGAAAGGGAAGTCATTTAAAGAGCTCGATACAATCGTGGCTGCATTTGGCTCCAAGAGCTACTGCTGCCTCAGCGGACCAGGGTTGGGGACGAGGCAGTGTGGGTGCCTCTCATTTCCCTGGGAGGCTACTCCACAGACTGAGAGCATCCTTCACCTGTGTGTGTGCCCAGGGTCGCACCAAAGTCAGTCTTTCCTGGAGCGGGACCACCTCGGCTACGTACACAAAGGCAGTGTAGGCCCCCAGCACTCCGTGAGAGCAGCAGCAATCCCTGGCAATGGGAAGGAGACACTGCCTGGGAGGGGCCTACAGGAGAGGGAGTGCGGGGTCAAGGGGCACCTCTGTGGAGTTTTTCCAAGCTGATGCAGACTCTACAAGGGTCTCCTTTCACCCTGGTTTTAGAACACCGCTGTACTGACAAACTTCTTCACTCTCCAAACTCATCTTTTCTCTTCCCTGTGCTCCTGGGACCATCCTTTCCTCCCCGAAGGGGACTTTGTTCTCCACCCACTTTCTCCCAGAAATCCTGGGCTCCCAAGCACAAACCCAGCAGCTGGGGGCCTCTGGCTGCAGGTCTGGGTTGCTCTGTGCGCTCTGCTGCCCCGAAGACTTCCCCAAAGGGGCAGGGGCGGACCTGGCCAGGCTGAGGACCCTTCTCCAGCCTACACACTGGGGTTTGCATTTGTCACTGAAGGAGTAGGCAGGTTTCTCCAGGCTTTTGAATTTAACCCTGTGTCTTTGGCAGGTAGCAAACCATAGGTGCTCCATAAATGTTTGTTGAAGGCCAAAACAGCGGAGGGAAGGGGAAGGGAGGTGTGGGAGGGGTTCAAGAAAGCTGCTGTGCAGATTGCTAGACATGGAAGTGTCTTCAGACAGCAGGGTGGCTGTGGAGGAGGCGCCATCTCGGTCATTGCCATATCCCCACGTTAGCGTGCTGCCTGGACACAGCAGGTCCTCAGTCCAGGCACCGAATGGACTAGCTCAGCTCACCCTTCTTGTGGAAATGGGGGATGGGGACTTAAAGCTCTTGGCCGTGCCCTCGAAGGAAAGGACTTTGCCTTCGAGGTCCTTTCCCGGTGGCTGCGTGCAGAACCTGGCTCAGCAGCAGCTCAGTAAATATTTGCGCAATGATGGGGTAAGTAGATACTCGGGCCTGAGGGGGCAGGCGGGATGCCCAGAGGACAGCCGAGACCCCTGCCTCGGGCAGAGCAGGAAGAGATTCCTCATCAGCCAGAAGAGGCAGGGTTGGGGAGAGGCCCAGGAACCTGCAACTACAAGGGTGGACAGAGGGTGTGGGGACAAGGACAACATCCAACGGCCAGGATGGTGACCTTCCTTTACTGTGCCATGCTGTTCCTCCGGTGCACTGTGTCTCTCCAGGGCTGCCCGTTGGAATTACCCGGGGAGCTTTTAAAACTCCCCGATGCCTGCGCTGCACTCCCTGAGGTTCTGATTACACTGGCCCGGGCGCTCCCTGTTTTAAAGAACGTTCTGGAGGGGATTCTAATGCACAGGGCAAGTTGAGAACACAGAGACAGTTGTTAAACAGAAACAAGACAGCAGGGAACAGCTAAGGGAGGAAAGGGTGCTCAGGGTAAGTTCCAGGAACCAGGAGAGGGAGGAGTGAGAGCCTTCCCAGCCTCCTCCTGGGGAAGGCGGGAAGGGCGGGAGGGGTGGGGCGGGGGTGGGGGGAGGCAGGGCCCAAAAGGGCAGGTGGGTTTAGAGCTAGGGAGGTGGAGGAGAAGGGGAGCGCTTGGGCATTAGGATGGGGTGGGCAAGATGGACGAGATTAACTGGGATGAATGATTTGGGCGGAGAGCTGATGCAGCAGGGAGAGGGCATGGAGTGAGAATCGCAGGGCGCTGGTCGAGGGAGAGCTCAGGAAGCAGCGTGCGCGGAAGAAGCTAAATGGGGCTTGGGAGCTCGACCTGGAAGAAGTCGGGGAGTCAGTCAGTCGCCCCAAAGGGATGTCCACGCCTGGCGCGACGGGACTCGGAAGTGGAAATTCTGAGACCAAGATGGGAGCCACTCGGTCACACAGGGACACATGGAAGTCCACAGGCCCATGCATGAGCGCGCACACGTACACGCACAAGCACACACACACATTCCCGGTGCACGCCAGCCCACTGCACACGGCCTCCCGGACAACGCAGGGACAGCAGAGTCGAACCGCAGCCCGAGCCGAGCCCAGAGGTCCCTCCCGGCCGCGCCCCTACACGGGCTTGCGCAACAGGCGGTGCCTCGGCGGGCGCTGGCCGAACGCTGCCAGAGCTGAGCTAGGCGCGCGGGCGGGAGCGGGAGGAGCGACAGTTCGCCGACGCGGGCAAGGGGTGTGTCCCCGCAGTCTACGGGGCGAGGAGGGGCGGGGCCGGGCGAGGCGCGGGGGCGGGGCCGCGGTGCGTATAAAGTCGCCCTCCTCCCGGACATAAACAAACCTCACCGGACTCGCTCGTCTCGGTCTTCGGAGCGCACGCCCATCCTCGCCGCTCTCCATTCACGCCAGGCACCGCCAGCCTAGCTCCAGCTCCTTTTGCCTTTCTCCCTCTACCGTAGGTAAGCCCCGTGCCCTGTGGTTGCGGGGCAGAGGGGTTCGGTCGCCCATGGGTGCTGCGGAAACTCCTGGACCGCGTTCCGTGATCTTCCGGAGCTGCAAGTGCGCGGCGACCCCGTAGCGCAGGCGTTTGGAGGGTTTTAGGGCGCGGGCACCTCTGGAGTGGGGGGTTTTGACTAGGGAAGAGGAGAAGAAAAAAGATGAGTCCCCGCGCTTCTTTCCTGTAGCTGGGGGGTCCTGGGGGCTGTGGAGGCGGTGAAGAGCCGGCCGGGGAACACCTGGATCCCGCTTCTCAAGGTTCTCCCAGAGTCGCCGCTGGCGGCTGGGGCCGAGGAGGATCGCGCTGAAAGTGGGAGCAGCGAGGGCCTAGGCGGGTGTGTGGGTGTGGGGGGCTGCATCGCTGGAGTGGGGTGTCTGGGGAAGGAGGGATTGTGCGCGAGCCTGTGTAGAAAGGGGATGGGTAGAAGCTGGAGATGAGGCTGGAGTGGGGGCGTGGGTGTGTCTGGTTCCCAAACGGAGCCAGAAAGGATATGCATCTGAGGGGCGGGGGCCGATTGAGCCTCGAAGCCGGGGTGGTGTGTTGGGGGGGCGGGGTTCGGTCCGAGGTGTGTCACCGCAGGAGCGACTAGCGCAGGAGCGGGTGTGTGCGCGCGCGAGCCGCCTGGCAGGGTGCGCCCCCAGATGTGGCCCGGGGTTGGCGCTGTGGTGGCGCGCGCTGTGCGGGCCTCTGGTGGCCCCCGGGCTGGCTGGGGCTAGGAGTGGCGTCATTTTCGCCTCCGCCCACCCTCCCCAGCTTTCCTTCTCGCCCCTGATGCCCCACCCGCCTGTCCTGCTCTCCAGGGAAGAGAACAGCTGGAATCGCTCCGACATTCCGGGGAGATCCGCCGCGGTCTCTGATTCAGCCTCGGGCAGGGCGTGCGCGACGTGGTGAGGTCAGGGGGAAAGGCGCTGTCCCCCGCTGTCAAATTAGTGGCAGAAGCTGGTTTGTCTCTGCCTCTGTGGTCAGACGCCCCTGCGGCTCAGGGGCAGCACCTGGCTGTGGCTTGGAAGGGGAGGTGCCTGACAGCGGGTATGGGGGGATCTGGGGGGGGACCCCTGGTTATCTTGTGCCAGAGAAAAACTCTGCTTCACAGATGTCCTGGGCACTTCAGTTTGTTTGGTCCTTTTAAGTAACCGAGAAAGACCCAAGATTCAGAGAACTCAGCGAGCAGCTACCTAAGAGGACTTCAGTCTCCTCACAGCACCCAACAGCCACGCTGAAGCTTCCCCTAAGCCACCTCAAATGAACAAAATATGTAAATACAACCTTGTTCTGGCTGTGAAGACCCAGTTTCAAGGCAAACCTCCCAGCCCAGCCTCCCCCTGTATAGAAATTTTGGAGTCTTTGCTAAGTTTCCCAAAGGGGAATTGAAATCAGCAAGGTACCCAGAGAGAGCCAGCCCCCGCCCCCGCCCCCACCTTCCAGGGGCTGGCCAGCCGGGGTGGAAGTGTAGGGAAGGCCCCCAGCACAGCCCCCCCGGGTGGCACGGGGTGGGGGCCGTGGTGGGGGGGGGAGTTCAGGAAGCGTGAGGCACCCGCAGAGGAGCAGTGCTCTGGTGTAAGGAGCGAAACCTGGAGTGCCCCCTGACCTGCAATTTAGCTTTGTGCCCCCCCTCCCTGCCCCGTCTCCTGCTGGAGGATGAGCTTCAGGAGGGCGAGGAGGGCGAGGAGGAGGGCTGTACTGGCCTCGCCCTGGAACCTGGCACCTGGCCCAGGGCTTGGCACTTGGGAGGAGTTCAAATACGTACACCGAGTGGAGAGTGTGGCTCCTTCCCCGGTGAGTACTCAGGTTCCTGGTCCACCTTCCCGCGTTGCAGATGGGAACTGAGGCCCAGAGGCCGGGCGTGGGCACTCACCCAGGCCCCGGTAGGACTGGAACTCGTCTCCCCAGGCCCCTCTGCTGGGGTCTCCGGGGGGACTGCAGGAGGTCAAAGGTGCTAGGTTGTCAGAGGGGTGATAAAGTGGATCTCGAGTGAGTTTCTGGTGAGAAAACTTTCCAGGCAGCATGGGGGTGATTGTTTGTTTACAGACTTATTTTTAGGGTAAGCCGGGCATTCTCGAGTGACAATCAGCCTAGACAGAAAGGGCACCGCCTGCCTGCTGAGGGGTGGCTGCCTGGGTTCAGGCTGCCCCCTCCAGGTGGGACTGCAGATTCGAACCGCGCTGGGGGTCCTGGGTGCGCTGGAACCTCCTGGCCGGAGCTTGCCTCAGTGTGGATGGGGAGGAAAACCCGACTGCGTTTTTCTGAGGTCCTGAAGGTGCGCTTCTCCCAGGGGACCCGGCTCCAGAGCGTCCCGTCCAAGGCCCTGTGCCTCCCACAGGCAGCCCGGGTGACTGCCAACCAGCCATCCAAGATTTCGGTGGGGGGTTGGCGGGGGCAGGACATCCCTCTCCAGATCAGCGGCTGTGTCCCCTCTTCCCCTTCCGTCCTTGTCAGAGCTCCGCCCTGGCTGCTCTGGCTCCACCGAGTGGCGGGGGAAACCGAGGCCAGGGAGCTGAAGGGACGTGCCTGTAGCCGCGTGGCTCCAAGTGGAGGAGCCAGGCTTTGAACCCGGAGAGACGGACTCGAAAGCCTTTGCTGTCTCCCCTGACCCCACGGTGGGCTGGCTGGAGACCTGCCAGAGAGAGAAGTGTGCGCAGGCCATTAGGGGCGTCCCCGATCAAGTGAGACTGACACACTGCCCCGTGAGGACGTGGACTGTGGATGGAGCTCGTGCACGGCAGGGAGTCGACGGCAGTGGCCGGCCTGCGAGCACACCACTTGGTGCCTGTCCGCAGTTCTCACAACCGCCGTTCTCGGGGCAGCTCCTTGGCCGCCGGAGTCGGGGACCTGGGCCTGTCTCTGGAGCGGACCCGCACTCCTGGGTGCATTTCAAGCTGCCCCGCCTGCCTCCCAGGCTCAGGCTGGTCCCGGGCCTGCCCTCTCATTGGCCCCTTCTCTTTACACTTGAAGACAGAGGAGCAGGCTGGCTGGCAGTCTTTGTCGCAGAGCCCAAGGTTAATTCCCCAGACACTCGTGTGGCCTCCTGCTGGGCTGGCTCGGCTTGTGGAGGGAAAGTGTATGGAGGGGCGGGGGACGCTGGGGACCCAGGGAACCCGGTGCTCCGGGTGGACATCCTGGCCTCATCTGTGGGCTTTCAACAAACTCTGTCCCGGGCCATCTGGGCGGCTCCTGCTTGTCCGGTGGCCTTCTGGTTATGACATGCGTCCCCTCGGTCACCGAGTCCATTGTTCCCGCTGCCAGAACACCCCTGCGCACCGGCTGGAAGATTGCCCAGGGGTGTTGCAGAGAAGAGGGTGGGAGACAAGGACCACCGACCCCTTCTGCCTCCCGCCGCCCTGTCCCAGACCCTCTCCCAGAGGACCCTCCGTGGGTCCTGGGCTCCACGCGACGGGGGATTCTGGGTCCTTTGCTGCCTCGCCCCCAGCGTGTCCACCTGCTCCGCGGGTGCTCCTTTCTCATCATCGGAGAGCTCTGGATGCTCTGGAGTTTCAGGGTCACCAGGCCCTGGAGGAACCGCTAGTTTCTTTGTCTTCCCAAGCATCATTTTACTGAGTTTGAGAGCCCTGGAGAACTTTCTCGAAGGTCCAGATTGTTGACGAGGTTGGTTACATAAGAGAAAACACTGAGAGTTAAGGCCGCCAACGTCCTCGCCCTCCCCAGAGCCTTGGGTTTGAAAATGTCCAGAAAACACCCAGAAAGCCCAGAAACCGTCTCGCGTAGCTTGATGTCCAAATCTCCTTGGCAAATAAAGGAGAAAAGAACAGGCCCGCAGCAAGGTGGGGTCGCCGGGGCGCACCCCGAGGCCCCTTTCCTTGAGGTTCACGGGGACATGGGGCTGTTCCCTGGAGCCTTCCGGAAGAGGTGAGCCGGACAGCAGCAGCAGCAGCAGCAGCAGCAGCGCACGCCGGTCCCCCGTCCCCAGCCCTCTTCTCGGCTCTGCCCTGTGAAGAAGAACCCAGTGTGCTGGGAGGAGCACTGCTCTCCTGTGGCGTCCAGCCAGGCGCGCTGTGGAGAGCACAAAACCTAGGCCGGCCGCTGGCGGCCGCAGTCGACGCTGACCTGTCATCCATCTCCCTGCGTCGCCCTCTGTCCCTGTGTCACTGAAGGACTCCAGGAGGCTGAGGCCCGCCCGCCCCTCCCCTCCACACCTGCATCCACCTCCAAGGAGTGAGTTTTCCATCCTTCCAGGGAAAGGGGAGGGGGGAGTCAGGCTTTAGGGAGTCGCGTGGCCCTTAGCGTTCGAGCCTCCGGTCCCTCCCCGGAGGCTGGCATGGGGATGCGCACCCTCTCCCCGCGGCCTCCTGGAGAAATGCACGGAAGGACGCAGTGACCACTCTTCCGCAGGACCCACCTGGCCGCTTCAGGAAGGCCCCTGGGGGACACCTGGAAACAGGAGTCCTCCTGCGTACTCCAAAGGGACGATAGAAAATCTAAGATGTGGACTCTGCCCAAAGCTTGGCCTGCTCACGGCGGCTCGGTGGTGACTTTGGGGGTGGAGAGAGAAGCAGGTGGCCCCCCGCTGACTCACGCCGGAGAAGCCCCCCTCCTCAGGGCCCCCTCCTGGACTAAGTGTGTGCACGTGTTTAGAGCAAGCGGATGTCACAGGCAGCTACAACTTAAGGGTTGTTTTAACCTGTGCCGGCTAGATGCTTGGTGACCTGGAGAACATTTCTTGACCTTTCTGGGGCTTCCGTTTCCCCACCCATGGAAGGGCGAGCGTGATGGTGCCTATCTCTTAGGGTGGCTGTGATGCTCAAAGGAAGGCGGAGCCCAGGGACCCCCGGAGAAGCAGCTCCTGCTGCTGTCCTCTCGGTGCACCTGTGCGGGGTCTCACCGTGGCCTCCTGGGGCCAGTCGTGCTGGGACAGGTGTGTCCCGGACACCCCAGCCCCCATCAGGGGTGGTTCTCTGCCGGACTCGGCCTCTTGTCCACCTCTCAGAAGTTCCAGGGGCTCAGGAG